AAAAATCACTCCAACTTTCAATCCTCTTTTCTTTCCAATTGATAGTGGGGTTATGTTGAGACAACCATGGGTAACCAAAAATGAGTTGTGGGGAGGTAGAATCGAAAACAACAAACTCACCCAAATCATGATGGTTGCCGGACACAATAATGTGTAATCTGGGGACGAGTTTGTTGACCTGAGACAAAAGTTGTCCAGTGACACCGGCGATGGATCTTGGTGGGTCAAGGGGTGAGGTAGGAAGTCCCAGTTGTTCTACTAAGTCACTCGAGATTAAGTTTTGTTCTGCACCGGAGTCCACAAGGGCTGATATAGGAAGCTTAGTTTGTCCACAAACCAGCGTAGCAGGAAGAAAAAAACAGAGAATTAGGGGAGAAATTGTCTTGTCTCGTCAGCTTCCCCTGGTCTACTGACGAGATGACCCGTTTCCCCGCAGCGGGCAGGTTGCAATAAAATGTCCTTTGTTACCACAATAGATGCAAAGTTTGGCTGCGAAACGTCTTTGTCTCTCCTCAGGAGTCAAGCAGGTGCGTCCAATCTGCATGGGTTCGGTGGGATTGCTAACAGCTGGTGTAGGAGGAGGCGGAGACTCACCACTGACAGTGAAACAGGAAACTCGAGGATTCTGGGAGGTGTAGTTCTTTTCCTTCTTACATCCTTTTAATCTGTTATCAATTCGTATGGATAAGGTGATTAATTCATCCAAGCTTCCGGGTTCATCCCGGGAAGCCAATTGATCTTTGATTTGTTCAAACAAGGAATTAACATAAATACTTTTCAGGGCGAGTTCCTCCCAACCAGCCTCCTCTGCAATGATCCGAAAATCTACAGAATGTTCTGCTGCGGACTTATTCCCTTGTCGTAGGTTGATTAAACGCTTCGCTGCTCCCTCCTGCTGGAGGGGATGGTCAAACATACGCTGAAACTCCTGAATGAATAACTGGGATGTGAGAGTGTCAGAAGAATGAGCAGACAAAAATGCTTGAGCCCACCTAAGGGCTTTTCCTTTTAAAGCAGAAACACTATGTGTAACTTGGGCAGAGTGAGTGGGAAAAAACGAGGGAGAACGAGCAAAAGCTAGTCTGCATTGAAGCAAAAATCCGGCACACTGATTTATGTCCCCATCAAAAAATTCAGAGGGTCGAATATCTGGTTCTCTAGGAGGTATGACAGATGGAGGGGGCGTGGCAGCTGGGGAAACGACAGGATTAACAGGAAAAAAGGTGTTTAATTTATTATCAAGAGCGGAGATATGCTGAGTAATTTGACTTAATAATGTACGGGTCTCTTGTTGAGCGGCGTATAACTGATTTAGTTTCTGATCATGATCTAATATTTTGGGTTCGGGTTGACTTGTAGCACCGAGTGTCTGATTATCAGAAGTATTGCTCACGGACGTATGGCTTGGCTGAAGCAGTCTATCAGGTTTTCAGGTGGAATGTCAATGTGAGCAAATACCAATGATAAAACAGAGACTGAGACAGATAAATATAAAAGGTAAGTGATTTTATTTCCAATAGTGCTGGGATCTGGGGACGGGACCTGAAACAGAGGATTTGCAGAGGTGAATAACAGGTAGGTTGTCCGGTATGATTTTGAGTTGATAATGATTTGTGGATGAGGCTTACAGGTTGATGAAGGAGATGAATCTTGGAGGAGGAGGTCCAACAGGTGAAGTTCCACAGATTTTTATAAGTGCAGATTTATTTACAGTGTTTCGTTGGAGGCAGCGCATGAGATCCAGGTGAGMTTGGCTCGGTTTCCAAGGCTGGGTTTAAAAGACTGGAGGTCGCTTTTGTAAACAAGAAGGCACAGGTACAAAGGTAAATAAAACTCTCTAGAAGACAACAAGTAGCAGGCTGAGCTCATACCCAACAGAGGCGATGCTTCAGCGACGAGATGCACTCCAGCACTTCCTTATAAA